CGTGTTGAATAGTTGAATTGAAGCTTAAGATAGAGAGACTTGTCAGAACACCAAATAAAGCTCTTGACATGGGGACCAGTAGCACAGCAAATCAACCTCCCCTTGGATAAACAATGGAAATCCTTTATATAGTGAGGGTAATGGATTATGTGCGAGATTAGTTTCCAAGAAGAATTCGGATGAGAATTGGCTAACGGAAGTGTAAGATATGTTAACCGTTGAATATGAGCATGGTTATCAGACCGGATGCTCAATAATATATTGAAGATTACAAATAGCTTGGTTATCATACCGGATATCCTTCACAACAGTATTATGGGAATTGGTAAATGATTCATTACTTAAGGCATTAAAAAATTTATTTCATTGTTTGTCTAATAAATCATTGTCGGTAAAATATTCTTGATAAGACAATTCTTATGCTACAAATTTATAATACAAATACTTTGATTGCTTCGACATATCATAAATTTTCTCGATTTTTCAGACAATTGAAGAATATAAGAAGAATGAAATCACCAAGAAATCGTTATATTAAATAAGTTGCTAAATTATTTCGATTACTTAATTTCGTTAAAAAGATGTAGAATGATTGGAAATTGAAAAAATGATGTGTTCCACCAAGCCAACTGCGCAAATCCCACGGGGCCGAATTCGCATCCTAAGGGAACAAACAAACCCACTCATATGTACGCTTGATGTTCAGCCACAAATTAACTCTATTAATAACGTGCGATGAACGCGCCCACGCTAAACTTGCTTAATAAACGATCAAAATAATTAATGTATGACTGATAAGAATTTGTCACGAACACCTCCACTATTTCACGTTTTCGATGACCCAATAACTGAAACAAATGACAAATTCATCTCTCTGCCAATTTGCTTGCGTGCAAATCAATAAAAATATAAGGAAACAGGATTGCTCGATAGATCTTCATACATTAGGAGGAATTACCGGTTACTGCACTTACAAGGATGACAGGGCGCTTGCTGCACTTCATAATTGTTTTGTTTCTCAGCGGTTTATACTATATTTTTGTCTGTTAGTCTTCGCGGTGATATCACTGCTTGAATTTTCAGGACTCATCTTCAGTTCGAGATCTTTTCTTCTTTATAAATGTCAAATGTTTATGTTTATGTTTATGTAACGTTTATATAATATGTAATATCAAATGTATGTATAACATTTTTCATTTCAGTATACATTTAATTGATTGTAGCCTTATACGTCAAGTATCATCAAAAGCGGTCACGCCATAACATGTACAAAATCTTAACCTTTTTACAGACCAAGTTGTGAGAATTTTTTGACACTTAATATTTGTATTATATCGCTATGAGAAGTCATGATATTTTCTGAAATTATCATTTTGAAACAAATTTCCTTTTGAGGCATTAAAATAACTTCAGATTGGAATAACAGATGACAAACAATACCTCGGGCAGAACATGGTTAGCATCAGGATTGTTTTGTATGATGTAAGTTGTATTGCCCTAAATCAGTCAGTTCTATCTGGAAAATTCATCATCAGATGAACTTGCATAGTTATTTCTATATATATATATATATATA